ACAAGCACCTCTCAAATTTATCAAACTTATATGGGAATGGTAAGTACAACTGTTACTTTGTCAAATACAACTTTTAAAAAAAAACCACAACTGTCTTTTGTTGAAGACTCTATATTTACCTTAAGATGTCTTTTGTTGAAGACTATATGTATATTTACCTTAAGATGTCTTTTGTTGAAGACTCTATATTTACCTTAATATGTCTTTTGTTGAAGACTCTATATTTACCTTAAGATGTCTTTTGTTGAAGACTATATATTTACCTTAAGATGTCTTTTGTTGAAGACTCTATATTTACCTTAAGATGTCTTTTGTTGAAGACTATATATTTACCTTAAGATGTCTTTGGTTGAAAACTATATATTTACCTTGAGATGTCTTTTGTTGAAGACTATATATTTACCTTAAGATATCTTTTGTTGAAGACTCTATATTTACCTTAAGATGTCTTTTGGTTAATTTGTGTCGTTGTCATTGTGCCTCTGACTCATTAACATGTACACAACAACTCCGTTTATTAATATTTAAAAGCACATATTTGGAAAAGAGAGGCGAAAGATACCAAAGAGACATTCAAACTCATACGTCGAAAATGAAATGAGTACTCACAGATCTGTACTTAAGTGTCTTTTTGTTGTGGGGATGTATAAGTACCCGTCCACGTCGTCCACTCTGTGTTTTTGTTAGATGAATTTCTATTTGTATCCAACTGATGAGTTAAGCCTTTTTCAACTGATTTTTATAGTTTGTTCTTATGCTGTACTGTTACACCACTGTCCCAGGTTAGAGGGAGGGTTAGCGCCTTCAAAAGAGTTTAACCCCGCTACATTCTGTATGTGCCTGTCCAAAGTCAGGAGCCTGTAATTCAGTGGTTGTTGTTTGTTGCTGTGTAACATATTTGTTTTTCGTTCATTATTTTGTACATAAATAAGGCCGTTAGTTTTCTCGTTTGAAGTATTTTACATTTGTCATTTCGGGGCCTTTTATAGCTGACTATGCGGTATGGGCTTTGATCATTGTTGAAGGCCGTACGGTGACCTATAGTTGTTAATTTCTGTGTCATTTGGTTTCTTGTGGAGAGTTGTCTCATTGGCAATCATACCACATCTTCCTTTTATATTGACAACGCCAAGACAAAAAAAGAAAAAGACCAAAAGACAAACAACAGTATACAAAACGCAACATAGAAAACTAAAGACTGAGCAACACGGACAGCACCAAATACCGGGAGTGATCTCAGGTGCTGCAGAAGGGTTAACAGGTCCTGCTCTACATGTGACATCCGTCGTGTTGCAAATCCAAACTCGGTGACAAGTCTGATTCGGTAGGTCTCATTTTTAACGTGCTAGTTCACAATGGAAAAGTACGCAGGACATATTATTCATACTCCGAGTGTTTCAGTCTTTGCTCTTACTCCTTAATGCTGCATGCTTAACGGAAAATCAACAAATGCCAATGTTTAAACCTTTGGTTTGACCCGGCTGGGAATCGAACCCATGACCTCCTGAACTCGAAGCGAGTACGCTACCACGAGAGCACAGAGACGGAATGTAAATTTAGTGTTTTTTTTGTACTAAGCATTTGCGCACGATCAACGCTTTTTTAACCCCATAAAATTACAAAAAGAAGCATCCAATTACAAGTATATGCTACAAGCCTACAATCATGATATAACGAATTATATAATTAAAGCTTTTCGTTTGTTTTCTTATGCATTGTGGCAATTTAGTCATGGGAAGTATTTTCTGTCATGACTGTTGCATTTTATTGATAACTAAAATGTTATTTAGGAATAATTATTCCTCGTGATTGTTATCAGCCAATCCAAGGTACGGATTCTTATGAAACATACATGTTATGTAATTATTAATAAATGACACTCAGGACATCGCTATGAATTATATAAAACACCTTTATATCGAACGCCACAGCTGTCTTATGTGGTACTTTGATATAACGTTATGTTGTTTTATTATTACTTGATGATATTTTGTCTTTACATAATATGGTTTTGACATTACGTAATGGTGTTTTGATATAACTCAATATAGAATAGTCATTACTAAATGATATTTCGATTTTACGTACGTGATATGGTTTCGTATTGACTTTATATGGTTTTTTCATTACTTAATATGGTTTCGTCATAACTCGATGTGATTTCATCATTATTTAATGTTGTTGTGTCATTATGCAATGTGATTTTAACATTACTTGATGTGTACGTATATGGCTTAACGTTATGTATTTGTTTCATTACATGAGGTGGTTTTGTTATTTCGTAATGATGATTTGCCAATTCTTCATATGGCTTTAACATTATATAATGATGGTTCAAAGTTTGACGATTTTACACAACATGATGTGTTCGTTCCTGTATTTGATGTGGTCCTGTCATTCTTTGATGTGGTTATCACATTACTTGATGAGGTAAAGCCACGTGACCATTTTTGAAAAAAATAGTTCTATTTTTAGACCGATTTCCATATGTCGTTTGTTGATGTGCTTCGGATGAGTGTCGCTATCCATTGAGTTAAAGTTCAAATTAAAGTTCGAGTTGTTGACCAGAGTTATTTGGTATGAAAAAGGGGAACGGCAGACAAAAATAAGAAAAAAAAGTACTAAAAAAATATCAATATTTTGGACATAAGCGGATATATATATCCCCAAACCACCTGGTCCTGCCGTTTTTTCCTTAGTTCTCAAATGGAAGCAGTATTGTAATAAATTCGTGAAGAATTCCACGGAACCCTGTGTATCGACTGAGATTGCTGCTGTCATTGTAAAAGTGTAATATTGACTGTAAAACGTCCATTTATCAGTAAAAAACAAAATTAAAAAAATTGTTTTTTCTGTACTGCATGCTTTATCTCGATATAGAAGATTAACTCCTATACAAGTTTTATAACAATTCATGGCGGTTTACAAATTTATCATGACAAAATAGTTTAATTTGATAATATTTAATGCAAATTAAACTTACATAAAAATAAAAAGATGTGGTATGATTGCCAATATGACAACTCTCCACCACATACCAAATGACGTAGCAGCTTACAACTATATGTCACTGTATCGTCATCAACAATGAGCAAAACCCATATCGCATTGTAAGCCATAACAGGTCCAGAAATGACAAATGTAAATACAATTCAAACGAGTAACCTAACGATCAAAATGATGAAGACGCCGACGAAGGAATATAGGTGTGTTGTGTCTCACTTCCGCGACATTAATATCGCAGGCTGGACACACATCAAATGACTTGTACTTTATTGTCAACAAATGAGACACTTTAAATCAACTCACATTAAGTTACAGGGAAAGGAGGGGGGATCGGACTAAGCAACAAAGCATCAATTCTATAAAATAAGAATTCTCCGATTTTTTTTAGCGTGTATTATCATTTGAACATATACGAATATCAATCTTTCAATATATATTTTAATAAATTCCATTGTCCTCTTTTCCTCGAATGTGACCTATTGAATTAGACCAAATCACTGGGTTTGTACTTTCACGAATAACACGACGGGTGCCACACGTTGAACAGGATCTGCTTACTTTTCCGTAGCACCCGTGATCACCGCAGGATTTTGATGGATTTATATTGCTCAGTCATACCGATCTATAGAGATAAGCTAATTTCATCTGATTTTTACAGTTTATTCTTGTGTTGTGCTGTTACACTATTCACCCATGGTAGGGTTAGGGTTTAGCGCTCACAGACATGTATAACTCCGCCACGTGCACATTCCTTATGTGCCTGTCCCAAGTCAGGAGCCTGTACTTCAATGGTTGTCGTTGTTTCACGTGTGTCATACTTGTTTTTCGTAAGTTGTTTAGTTATTAGTTACGGGTGCCTATAATTGCTTATATCCACTGCATTTAAACCCTGGTGGATAGTGGTCTCATTGGCAATCACACCACATCTCACATTATTTCGACTTCTATGTGATTTCTTGTATACTGTAACATTGTTTATCTTTTGTACGCATACCCCTTAACCACTTTTTGGAAGCCCGAGCAAAAGCCCTTGATCCGCGATAGAAAACTTAAATACGAACTCATGTTAGATAACTCCAATTTCAACTTGAAATCCTAATCTAAATGAGACTCAAGTCTTACTCGAACTCTACCTCAAAAGGTAACTCAAACTCGAAGTTCAACTCGAAACTCTTATGCTAACTCTAACTTAAATTCTAATTATGACTTGAATTCTAACTCGAAATAGAAAACTACTCGAAGTTTAAATCGAAGATTAACTCAAAGTTTAATTCGAACAGTAATCCGAACTTTAATTTGAACTCTAACTCGATGGATTGCCACACTCATCCGAGGCAAATAAAACATGGAAATCGGTTTTAAAAATAGAACTAGTCTTTCCCAAATAGTCACGTGGTTTTACCTTATCAAGTAATGTGTGATAACCACATCAATGAATGACAGGACCACATCAAATACTGGAACGAACACATCATGTAGTGTAAAATCGTCAAATTTTGAAACATCATTTAATATGTAATTTTAAAGCCATATAAGGAATTGGCAAATCATCATTACGAAATAACAAAACCAAATCATGTAATGAAACAACTACATAGCGTTAAGCCACATACACATCAAGTAATGTTAATAGCACATTGCATAATAACACAACCACATTAAAAAATGATGAAACCACATCGAGTAATGACAAAACCATATTAAGTAATGACAAAACTATATCAAGTCCATACGAAACCATATCATGTAATATCGAAAAATCATTAAGTAAGACTATTCCATATTGAGTAATATCAGAACATCATTACGTAATGTCAAAACCATATTATGTAAAGACAAAATATCATCAAGTAATAAATAATACAACATAACGTAATATCAGAGTACCACATAAGACAGCTGTGGCGTTCCATACCTTTATATGCCTCATTTTTTAGACAAGTTACCAGACAAGTTGTATTGTATAGCAAAGGCATGAAATAAAACAAATCAAACAATGTAAAAATAAATAAATATTGTGTTCATTTAATCAAATTATATGGAAAAACGAATGCAAAAGTATAGGTTCACCCAAGTCGGTGTTTCTTAGTTAAACTTATCATATAAACCTTCATTTCGTAAAGGTAAAACTATCACCATAGATATACGATCCCACAAATATTTTCTTTTTAATATTTAAAATAATTTCTCTAGACGTTCGCATTTTCAATGAGAGATCAACAACTGGTGAACAATTTAATTGAAACTTGTAAGAACATCTATGAATATGACGACCTTTCAATGAGGATTTTTATTTTAATGAAATGCTAACAACACAGTGGAAAAACGACTGCAAAATCAATAACAAATCTGTACATGACACGTTTCACGTGTGCCATAAACAGGTTAGTACATGTATGGTTGCTCATTTTACGACATATGTACGTACATGGCAAAGAAGTGGAAATGATACGATTAAAAAATAACGCGAGTAAATGGTGTGTTCAAGTTTCAGTTGGTTTTTTTAAAGTATAATATGAATTTAGTTTCTACAATTAGATCTAGAAGATAACAAAAGACGTCTATATGATAGATTGATTGAATGTTAGTGTTTAATGACATTTTCAGCACTGTAGGCTATCTCATGCGTGGCGGCCACCTTTCAATGGTGGAGGAAGTCAGAATGTCCAGAGAGAACAACCGACCTTCGGTAGGAAAACTGACAATCTTAGTCAATTAAAATTAGAGTGGAACGCACCTGCTACTTGCTGGATTCGAACTCACAACCGCGGTGTTGACAGGCTAGTGAAACAGTATATGAACTATTTAGACTACTCAGGATCGGTGACTGCAGATTTTGAAATTGCTTATTCCATTTTGTCTATTCCATAAATAGTATTATCCATTAGTATGAAATAATGAAAATCTAAATGTTCTATATCATGTTTAAAATAAGTACTAAAATAAAGACACCGAGAACCAAAGATAACGCTATTTCGGATGACTTGTATTTTCTACCAATGTGAGGATTTCAACAGAAAATTGACCGATTGGGCAAATTAATAATAACGAATAAAGTGAGACAGGAAGCAGGAACTAAGTGATGACATTAACTGGCCATTTTTGATTGAGTTAGACATTACTCATATATATGTGAGTTATCTTTAGGTTATGATTTGCACATGCACTTATCTATTTGAATACAAAATATATATAATCATGTAACAATATACACATATTATGGCAATGGAAATGTTTAAAATGACAATATAGGAACTGTTCATCGAGAAGATGGTTGACTGGTAAATAGGCAAACATAGTTAGTTATAAATACTGGAAATATGTCAAAGGGATAAAAAACCAACAACAAAAAATCAAGAAACTTTTATCCGGTCTTCCATAGTAGACAAATGTCTATACATTTTGTCAAACTCTCAATCGCCCCAAGTTCAGAAACCGGGACTATCAAATATCCACAATGAACATCATATTCCTTAAAGGATCAAAACATTCAATTATCTAAAGACAACAACTTATTATAGCGTTGGTAAATACATCATTTTTCATTCAATTGGTTTGTCTATCAGTTTCTTTGTTAGGAAACGCAACTCATTGTGGTGAAACATTAGTCAACTGTTTTCTCGATTTCCATTACCTCATTAATTGCAAATATAACACATACTGCAATGAATATATCCAAATGTAAAGAATAATAAACAATGAACATATATATGGCAATGTCGTATGAACAATTTCCGATAGTTTCACACTGTTAGGATTTTCATATTTTATTCAAACACAAGACCTCGTACATCTTCTGGTATGCAGCCGTTGTATATTATCACCTGAAAAAAAGTATGTAGAAATCATATTAAGAGAATAAGCTTAAATACATTACATGTCAGGATTATGTTGAACAGCATCAAAACATGCTTACTGTTAGCGTGTTACGTAAAGGAACACTACTGATTTGGACATGACAACCAAACCAATAAAACAACTTGCGAGCCAATTAAAGAGCGGTAATGTTTGATTCGCAACTGATATTTGGCTGGGTCGCTTGGAACGCATATAGTATGTTAATGTTGGGCGGACACAAAAGTTGGGTAACCATTTTGTGTATTCAGATATAGGAAGATGTGGTATGAGTGCCAATGAGACAACTCTCCATCCAAGTTACAATTTAAAAAAGTAAACCATTATAGGTCAAGGTACGGCCTTCAACACGGAGCATTGGCTCACACCGAACAGCAAGCTATAAAGGGCTCCAAAAAATTAATAGTGTAAAACCATTCAAACGGAAAAACCAACGGTCTAATCTATATAAAAACGAGAAACGAGAAACACGTATGAACTACATAAACAGTGTAATCAGATTCCTATTTTTTTCAAACACAAGATTTTTTTTTTGGTGGGGGAGGGGGGGGGGGGGGTTTACTCAGATCCCTTAAATTGCTGTATTGAATTGTTTGAGGAACTTTTCCTCTTATTTATTACACTTGAAAACTTTTTTTCAAAAAATTTACAAAGACCGTACCGCTTTTGTGTAATCATCTCCTCATACAGTTTTCAACACAGATCCCTTAAATTTCACAGAAATATTACACACATGTGAACGTTGTACACCTACTTTTATTGAATTGTTAGAAGAATTTGTTCTCTTTTTTTTCGACTTGAAAACTAAGTCGAGATTGTTATGCCCAATGAGAATAAGATGGTACTATTTTAGTACAATCAACTCTTCCTACAGTCTTAAAACTTCAAAGAAAGATTGCACACAACATGTAAGTTGACGTACAAAGTTGTTAGGTTATATTTTATCACATATATTAAACACAAAAATTGGGATATGTGGTATGATTGCCAATGAGACAACTATCCACCAGAGTTCAAATGAAGTGGATGTAAGCAATTGTAGGTAACCGTACGGCCTTCAACAATGAGAAATACCCATACCGTACAGTCGGCTATAAAATTTCCCGACATGAAAAATAAAATGTAAAACAATTCAGACGAGAAAACTAGAGGCCTAATTTGTATCAAACCAATATACGAAAAACAAATATGATAGTCATGAACCAACGACAACGACTGAGCTACAGACTCCTGACTTGGGATAGGCACATAAATAATGTGGCAAGGTTAAACATTTTTGTGAGCGTTCAACATTCCCCCTAACCTGGGACAGTCGTGTAACAGCACAACATAAAAACAATCTATAAAAGTCAGTTGCAATTGGCTTAACTGAAAAGATCGGTACGATACAAAACAACAACTAACATACAAGCAAGAGACAAAAATCACCGAAATAAGAGTACTCGCAGTTACTGCAAGCTAGTTCCAAAAAATCATGTTCTCCATTATAGACCATCCTCCATAGAAACAGTATGTGACATCTGGCCATTTTCGTCTTTGGTCAATTTTTTACAACATTAATATGATACAATGTTACCAGTGATAAATTATCTCGAGATATACCAATTGATTCGGTGGCTGAAATAATGTGTGATGAAGAAAATCACATTATAAGACCCCATTTTCCCCTTCGATGAAGAATATAAGGAACATACAAGCTAAGTTTATGTCATTTCTAAAATGGTTTTAAAGGAAAGCAAATTGTTCATGCTACATGAAGTATACTTTTCATAGAAAGCATATTCTGTTCATTATGCATCGACAGTCGTGAGATTCCAAAGCTATATCCAGTAGCAAGTTCCAAGGTCAAAACATGGCAAAACCGGAAAAGTCAAATAAACAATAGGAGACATGAGGGATCTATCAAACATATGCACACATACTAGATAGCATACCCAATAAACTGTCCCTCTGAACAAATCATTAATATGGCGACCGTAGAAATAATATACCGTGATGTTTTCAGTCGTTCAATCTTTTGTAGCATACTGTTTTCATGGGTCACATATATATATATATATATATTTATTTAGTCTTTAAATAATTGCTTTATAATTTGACTCACATCATCCATGTATCCAACAAAACCATCGTCTTGATCACAACCACCAACAGATATAGCAGCATGTTTTGTCGGTATTACACCTGTAAAGGGACAGACACGACTAGTCAATGGTTAACAAAGGTAATGTGAAGCATACTGTTAATGGTAAACACAGTAAAAACATACAAAATAAAACATTTGTTATTAAGAAATATTTTAGTATGTTTTTCAAATACTTGAAATGTGCAATTAAAACACATATTATATCTTATAAAAAGTCGTATTACCTTCCACAAAAATCGTTTTTGAGACTTTGCCAAGAGCAGCTGAGAAACTGGCACCATCATATCGAAGAATAACTTCGTTCCATTGGTATGGCTGCAATAAACACAATCAATATTCAAATGATGTTATATTTTGTTTAGACAATGTAAGTTTGTTTTTAAAAGATACTTTCTAAATCAAAAACATGTCTAACGCCACAAATAACACTGCTGAAATGCTGATCCCTCCATTCAGTCTTGTCGTTTTTTAAATAATTGCTTGCTCCATTCGACTTATTCTATTACAACATTTTGTACAAGGGAGAGGCAAAAGATACCAAACGGACATTAAAACTCACAAATCGAAAATATACTGACAACGCCATGGCAAAAAACGAAAATGACCAAAAGACAAACAACAGTATACAAAACAAAACATAGAAAACTGAAGACTTAGCATCACAAACCCCACCAAAACAAGAGTGTGATCTCGGGTGGTCCGGAAGGGTAAGCAGATCTTGCTCCACATTTGGCACAAAATACATAAGAAAATTCAGTTAATTTCCAAATTTGCAAAGTATTTCACTACAAATGTATGCCAATGCATTGATTCATAACTTCTAAAATTGTGAGATATGAAAAAAAGATATTAATGGTACCTTGTAAAAAATTCGTATATATGCTTCAGGACTTTCAGATGTCTTTACAGTAAACACTGTCTCTAGTATATCTGTCTCAAGTCTAATGTCAAATGCAGCCTCCTTCTTCCCAATACAATTTGATAACAACGTTTCAGAACGATACGATCTTCCATGTGCGTAAAACTTAAAACGCAAGGCAAATTCAGGACCAAGTTCTACATTCGAAAAACGCCACAGTTTTAGGCTCCCACGTCCATTAAACATTGCTTGCTTTTTAATTGTCTGAAGGACATTAAATACACCAATAGATTGGCTGTGTCCAGATTTATCATCGAAAGCATCATTGGAAGATCCGCTAAAATCTAGACTTATGGCCGGTTCACATTGAAAAGGTTTATCTAAAAAAGAGGACGTGAATATTTAAGTTTATGATGAATGCATATAAATAACATTAAAAAATATAATACTACGTTTTGAATGAACATCAAAATGTAATTGATTCAAATTATAAGCATGTAAAGTTTTACACCTTCGGAATGCAAAGAATATCAGATAGAAAGAATGTACACATAATTTTAAAGAATTCTTGGAATTGTATGAAGAAGAAGAAGAAGAAGAAGAATTGTTTATTATAGTGCAACCTGAATATAAAGTATATCGTTACATTAAATACATAATATAAAACTTCAGCCAGCCAAATAGGCTTATGATGCATTGTATGTACTATTAGTTACATAGTGTGCTAGTGACATAATACGATATACTGACCCCATATATATCGTATTATGTCACTAGCACACTATGTAACGAATTTATCTTACCGACTATCTTAACATGTGGTATTTAGACTACGGGCATATAAAAGTGATCAACTCTTCAATACCGTTAGTATTAAGAACCTACTTCCATTGGTCTACACAAAAACAAATGCCGACGATAACAACTTGTTAGCTTAAAATGTGTTTTATTAATTTATTTCAATCGTTCATCATCCTGATTGCATTGTCTGTTGAAACCTCAAAAGATTTTTCAACACCGTGTTGTTTTATAAAGGGACGTAACACCACTACTAACCGTGTATTGAAATAAGCCCCGCCTCCCTACTAACCTAACATGGAATATACACGGTCTCCACGCGGTTGCTTTTAACCAATCATATTCCTAGAAATGTATAGGAGGTAAGATAATATTTTATTTCATGCAGTTGTATTTTATATTATACCAATGCAAAGGAAAGGTTAATATAAATGAAGGATATCTCCTTTGGTAATCTGTACTTCGTTTCAGGGTTGAATTTCAATACCCTTAAAAAAAATGAAAACAGCACGTAATAAATGTCATGCGTCTGAAGCGCTTTTCTGGATTTACCTTCATCAGGGACGCTCAAACCCATAGATTTGAAAGCCAGGTATGTATAAAAACCGAAATAGCTGAATAGCAATATAACCAAAAAGGAAATAATAAAATAACCAAATGCATCTAAGGCCAACTTTGCCTGATGGAATTGAAGCCTTATTTTCTTAATAATTTCAAACTTTATAAACAGACAATTTTAGAAAGGTTTGTTATAAATCATGTCAGTACCGTCAGTACCGAAGTACTGACTACTGAGCTGATGATACCCTCGAGGACAGATAGTCAACCATCAGAGTTATCGACCTAGTGCTGTATAAAAAATGAAAACAACACGTTATAAATTTTATGCGTCTGAAGCGCTTTTCTGGATTTACCTTCATCAGGAAGGCCCAAAACCGAATATGTGAAAGTCAAGACTGTATTAGAACCGAAACAGTTGTAGAGCTATACAACCAAAAAGGACATAATAAAATAACCAAATTCATCTAAGGTCAACTTTGCCTGAGGGAGTTGAAACCTTAGTTTCTTAATAGTTTCAAATTTATAAATAGACAATTTTAGAAAATTTGTTATAAATCATGTCAGTATCGAAGTACTGACTACTGAGCTGATGATACCCTCGGGGACTGATAGTCCACCAGCAGAAGTATCGATACAGTGCTGTAAAAAATGATAACAACACGTTGTAAAGTGTATGCGTCCAAAGCGCTTTTCTGGGTTTACCTTCATCAGGAACGTTCAAAGCCGAATATGTGAAAGCCACGTATTTATAAAAACCGAAACAGTTGAAGAGCTATATAACCTAAGAGTGTTTCGCTTCCGAATATGATAGTCACAATCGTACCAGATCACATTTCTTCCGGAATAACGTGTTTTGCGCACTAACATCATTACCACAAGTCATTATTAATGTATAAATCAAAACATGAACTGGTACCAAAATATTTATCAAATCTTATTGTGCCTACAAATAGTAAACAATCGTACAATACTCGACTTTCATCATCAGATAATTTTATTGCCCCTAAATCAAATACAGAATTATACAAATCAAGTTTTTCTTTTAGTGGTCCAAAAGTGTGGAATTCACTATCCAGTGATATTAAAAAAAAAACTGTATCTGCATGCAAATACTCTTACAAGTCATTATATTTTTAACAAAGTTTGAAATCTATAGAGAATATTACATGGCTTTTTCAAAATCACACCCGTATCAACCCGAGACATCAATATAATGCTAAGAGTTCTGCTCGAGGGATTATATTGGTTGAGGGTTGATACGGCGTGTTATATTGAATACACTTTATTATAATATATACATTTTTGTACCTCAAGTAGATGATTTTCACTTGACATGACGTAATACAGATTAGGGGTTTGATACAGCCTTTGTGTAGCATGAGAGATTGAGATTTGGATAATTTTCTAGATTGAATTGTTTTCCTTTGTACAGTTATTGAAATTTAGTTTGGAAATTATTTTTACTCTTAAAAACTACTATTTAGGGATTTAAAGATATTCAAAGAATATATAAAAAAAAAAGATAAAGATAAAAATAAATAGATTTTAGTTTTATTGTAAAAAGAGATTTTTGATACTCTCGTAGGCTAGAGTTGACTGCGATTGTGCAGAATATAGCGTGGGTAGTTTAAAGAGAGGTTGACAGTCATTTTTTGTCACTGACAAGTTTTTGGTAACATAATGTGACGTGTGAAATGTAATGATGGAAACAGAATTGTGAAGATTCAAATATTGTAAGTTGAATTATAATTATCATGAACTAATTTTATTGTTTTAAAACAAGTTGTTACCATAGTGAACTTTCGAGTGAGAAGCGTACCATGTATAGCATGTAGTTTAGATGAAACACGATAATTCATAACTTATAAAGTTATAACACATTTGAGACAGTTTTAGAGTAAAGATATAGAAGTAATATAAGTCATTATTCATTCCTAAGTTATATGTTTGGTTATAAAGTAGCTGTTTAGATTTTTATAATAAGTCCGGAATAAGGTACGTTGCGTATTGGGAATTGTTATACAAATATTTTAACATTTAAGAGTCTTGATCAGTTGTGTGTCTTGATAAATCAAAATTATTTTGATGAAATGATGTAAAAGCAGAAAAGACTTAAACATCTGATGGCTGAACTACATATCAACTACAACTACATCGTTGAATATGAAGACGATCTGCTTCAATTACTAGTTGACTGTTCGATCAAACGTCGCATATCTGTGACTTACCTAGTTGCTGTAGAAAGAATATGCAAAGACTGGGTATATGCACTGCATACCAAGAGAGCGGATTTACTACAGTTAATATAATGAACATTCATTTTTAACTCTTGGAACTTTATAAGACCCTGTACAAAGCTGGATACTGTCGGTCATGAGAATAGAAATAATTTAGAGAGAAATAGCTAAAGATTTTATCCGTTAGTAAATTTATAACTATATGACCCCTGCATTCTATTTTACATAAACAACAGCATTTACTAATTGAAACCGATAAATTGGGTCCTTGACAAGATTTTAAATTTTAACAATATTTTCAATGTATGGAACCCCATGTGATTGTTGAATTTTTTATCAGTATTGACAAAAATAATCCTTATCACATTAATTATTTTTAAACTATTGGACACTTTTAACACACCAATTAAAGTTTTATCCATTTCAAAATATAATGTTTAAGCTTATGTCAGTCTGCTATGTACAGTGTAAATACAAGTTTTTACCTTTAATCCTCTTTAGCCTTATTATTTTACTTTATTTTACCCTAACACAGTTAAAATATCTTAATCTATTAATTTTTTAGAGTAACGCATTTTTAAAAATATAAATAATAATATTTTTTAATGCGGTGACCCTGCAAATAGGATGGAATTCCAGAAGAAGAAGAAGATGTAATAAAATGAGAGCGAGGAAACAAAAGAGAATCGTTGAAAATCAGAAGTAATATTTGATTACTCTGAGAGAAGTACCTATTTTGAACTTTATATGTTATTTGCAGGTGTCATAAGATTATTGTGATCAACTATGATTGTCAGAAAGATAGATTAAGATTTGTGATAATTCGCAATGAGATGTCTACTCTCACCTTACTTATATAGGGTATGTGTAGTAATTATATTTATCAACCATGACTTCCTGAAATTGTTAATACAGATTAAATGTACTGCTATTGATTGTATATGCTTTATTAGCTTATCAGTTAGTTGTAAAATGTTTGTCATTTACAAATGATAACATGTTTTTTAATCATATTTTTGAAGTACATGCTATAAAAGTAGTATTGATAATGGGAGATAATTTGATAAGAGAGATAATATATTAAAGACTAGGAAATACTTAGAAACATTTCATTTGGTAATTTTATAAGGAAATTCATTATCAAAATTATATTTTAGTAATTGTTTAAAGTTTTAAGGACTTGATTAACTATTTAACTTTATGATAAAGTTAAGAAAGGAGTTTTTAGGGAGAAAATAGAAATATATGAACTTTGTTATATTGTATAACATTTATATACAGAAATGAAACATACTTATGATCTTTATTTTTGTTTCTGTCCTATTAGATGTTGCCTAAAATTTATATGAATTGAAGTTTATAAATTTTTAATGTGAAATTTTTATAATAGAAGAAAAGTTTGTGATACAGAATACAATTGTGATAATATATATGGAGGATTTATCCATAATAAACTATGATGATTTACACACCTTATAAGTTATATGGTTCGCTACTGACCCCCTACGGATCCATAGAGGGTTAGTAAAATCCATAGGGGGTGAGGCCGAAGATATTTCACAACAATTATTATTTTCTTAGTTTGAAAAATTTATTGTCACGTCTGCCATGTTTACAAACAAATTTCCGGAAATGCACGAAGTTGCATGTGATAAACCCCACGGACAATAACGGAAAGGCATGTGATAACATTCCGGAAGCAGTCAATAAAGGTTCGTTTATCAGCCCGCCGAGGAAATTCTTAGGAACTTGGTTAATAAACATAATAACCCTTTCATAGCCTTTTAATTATTTTTAAATGTTATTGAACTGTAAAATTTAAGTAATATTTTATACAAGTATATGATAAATAAGTTTAACCACAATGTATACTATAGGTATATTATTTTTGTTATATGTGTATATATATATATATATATATATTGTTTATATTTGTGTATTAGTAAATTGATTATGTTTTATTCATGTAGTTAATATTGTATGTAGAGAGCCTTATTGAAAATTGGTTTAATCCAAATGAGATACTCTCTTTAAATAAAGATATCATTACTACTATTATTATAATGTCATATGTTTAAACGATACGTAATATGTATCACGGAAGTCTTCCAATAAAAAACACTATAAATTTCAAAAAGAAAAGAACCATCAGAATAGGAATTATTTATATATAATTACCTAAATGTGTTTGCGTCTTTTCGACTGGTCTATTACCAGCATTGCTCCTAATACATGCACACATGGATTCTTCAAACCGTGTACCAGGAGCACAGGAACGAACCATTCCACCATCTGTATACTTAAACGGGGAGTCAGAAACTTTTCTCAGTGGGCACACTGAAATTGAAAACAAAAGTTATTTTCATGAAACATTATTCTAAAATACCGCATTTACTTTGGTTCATTGTATGCTACTTTCTTCTTTAGTAAGTGATTCTCCAGACCAAACGTAGAAAATTGTAAACTATTAAACATTGCGCAATAACCTCCTATTGCTAGTAAAAACACGCTAACATCAGCAGAGAACCACATGTCAATCATAAGGATAACACACAATTTTACTGTTTAATAGGGCTGTAGACACATACCTAGTATGTGATTGTCTTTGTTCCTCTTGCCCATTGGTATCTTTTATTTCTAAATAAAATCATGAAAAGTAGTCGTTTTCAAATGGTGATTTCCATTTGAACTAATCAAAATTAAAATAGCACTTTATAAATTTGAAGCATACGTTGCAAATCCAAAATGAAAGCCACGGATGTATAAATACCCGAATGTGTGAGGGACTATGGATCAAAAGGGACGTAGCAAGAATAGCCAAACAACATTTTTCCCCCCGAGAACCGTAACCACAATCAAACGATCAAAGGGACGTAACAAGAATAGCCAAACAACATTTCTTCCCCGAGAACCGTAACCACAGTCAAACGAACAAAGGGACGTAACAAGAATAGCCAAACAACATTTCTTCCCCAAGAACCGTAACCACAATCAAACGATCAAAGGGACGTAACAAGAATAGCCAAACAACATTTCTTCCCCGAGAACCGTAACCACCATCAAACGATCAAAAGGGACGTAACAAGAATAGCCAAACAACATTTCTTCCCCGAGAACCGTAACCACCATCAAACGATCAAAAGGGACGTAACAAGAATAACCAAACAACATTTCTTCCCCGAGAACCGTAACCACAATCAAACGCTCAAAACTAAGATCATATAAAAAAAGGAACATTCTGGTTACAGAACAGACTAGTTTGGGTTTTATAGAAATAATCAACCAAAAATGACGAAAAAGGGCAAGGTACGAGAAGAAAGATATATGTACCCTTTCAGAAATGTTTTATTTTAATCTGCTCACTATGTTGCTAAGATTGTCCATACAACATTAGGAAATAGTTCAATGTTTCAGTGGCATTTCTATCAAATTGTTGTTAAATGACATACCAAAAATTACATATATATGGCTATTTTTGGTCTAATAGTAAAAAAAATAGAGAGTTTTCAATAAAGACGAATTTAAGTGAACACGTGTACCATATCAATATGTTCACATTTGATTTAAACATTGTAGAATGATATAAATGCGTTCTAACAATATTTTTTGTGGCACAGACACTAGCTCTGTATAACTAGCAACTTTTGCCATTTTGCCATTTTCTACTGTTTTGTGACAATTTCTCTAATAGTATTTTTATTTGATAATAATTATGTGTGCATGCCTTTGTGAGCGAAACATCAATATCATTTAAAAAAAAATGCTTCCCGTATAATGTATAATTAACAGCTTCATGAATAACATACTTCATATTTAAATGTGACCTCATTGAAAAAGCATAAACATTTGGGACCTTATCCTATCTTGTCCTTTCCAAAATTTAGGAATGTAATTGTAACTTTAACAAGACAAAATAGAGCGAGGTAATCCTAAAGCTTTCAAAAACAATTTTCCGTTAAGTACTTTGTTCAAAATGAAATTAAATGCATTTTACCTTGAGAACTTGATGGAGGTGTCTACTTTTAATATCAGCGTGACAAAAATAAAACAAATTTTGAAGCAAACAATTGAATTGCAACTTTTCTAGTGTGTTAGAGAACGTAAGATGTGTTTCAGTTTTTGCATGTTTTATAATATCCTTTTTTATCGTAAATGTTTGGTTATTCAATTAGATAATCGACTGAAACTAAGGTTACAAATCCCTCAGGCAAAATTGACTGAGACGAAATCTGTTATTCTCTTTACGTCAAGCATGTAACATCATACGTTTTCTATACATATACGTCTTGATTATGACTTTATTTTCGAGTTTCTGAGAGAAAACAGATAACATTCATCTTAAGTATACCTTTATCATATATACTTTTCACATTTTAGTATGATATATATAACTATGTCGCCTGTCGCTTGTGGGTTTTTTAACCTCTAGTTGTAATGCTTTCCAAATTTTGTTTATTTGACGTTCGATCTAAAACGTACATCATAATTCCAGAAACGTGTGTTGATAGCTGTGGAATTGGTATCCTTCCCATATTATTTATAGATAACATTTTTATAATGTAAACTTTAGTAACGTTAACGGTCATTAAATTAATTTTAGCACATTAAATATAAATATCAAATACACATAACATTTCCCAAATTCAAGAATTAATTCTGAAACATACCATTAAGAACTTCGGGCGTCTTTGTATAGCAATTTGTTTTACAGTCATTACTCGGAACACAAGTGTTTCTTCCACCGCCATATGCATATCCATTCGGACAACATCTTGCATCTGAACGACGTCTTCGGCATGTCCAATATGCTCGACATTTACCAATATATGGATGGGATCTGACACCTTTCGTCCTACATGGATCTATAATTTAAAATCCATAAGTGTACTAAAATACCATGTAACTGAATACATACATGAGATAATCTTAAAAAGTGAGCAAAATATGAATGAAATAAAACCTGCTGGTATATGCAGATGCTAAATACAATAAACATAATTAAAAGGCGTTTTTAAATTCAGTATGAAATTATACTGTGAATTTAGTGCCGTATTAGTTTATATGTTTTGCTTCCACCATCTACAGCTTTGATTCACTTATTCAAGTCAGTCTACATAGAAATTGTATACTAATTGAACATCATATTATAAAAAAACTAGATGTACCTATTTCACAATCTGCTCTTGATGATTGTGTGCATGCTAGCTTACTCTCACTCCAGAACAGACCAAATGAACACTCTTTTTCTGTGGCTCTTAGTTTATGTCCTTGTTTATAACATACAATGAATCGGTTGCAGTTGGTAGGTTCTCTCATGTAACAGAAATTACTAACGTATGTACAGTTGACACACGTTTCTGAGGAAGAAAAAATACATTGCACAATGAAACAAAAAAAACCATCGCTCACAATGCATTTGGTAATAAAACAAATCCATTTAAATTTTTTTATAGTTTTTATTTCTATTTTCAATAAAGCACACGGGCAAAACACGCATGTTACAGTGCTAGATCACAATACTGCCATAGAGTGTCAGCATCTGAATGTTAAAACTATAAAACATAGTTTACATCATCGATGAATGTTTTGATATTAAAAAATTGAAACAGAAATAAATGTCATGCGTCCGAAGCGCTTTTCTGGAGAAACGCGCAGAGCCGAATATTTGAAAGCTATGGATGTATATGAATCGAAACAGTTGAAGAGCTATATGACCAAAAATAATAGCCAAATCAATCCAACGTCAACTTTGTCTGAGGGAGTTGAAACCTTAGTTTCTTAACAATTATAAATTTATAAAAAGAAAATTTGAGAAAGGTTTGTTATAAATCATACTACTAAGAACTATTGCGCTGATGATACCATCTGGGTCGGATAGTCCACCAACCAACAGCAGTATAACATATTAACAGTTTACTTTATGTCTATTATTTTCCTTTCATTTTACCTAATAATCATTAGGGATATCTAAAAGCCAGTGATATATTTGATGATAGTAAATAAATATGAAAATGCAATTTCAGAACATTAAATAACATACCTTTAGTTACGTAACTATTATTAAAAACTTACCAGAAGCATTTGAGAGTTCTTTTGTGTAAGATGGGTTAATTTCTGGTGAAGAATTTCCATTTACCGAGACTACTGATTTCGTGTATGACTCAGATGACGCTGAGGTTTTTGTCACATTGTTGGATGTTATTTCCTTCGATTTAAATTGCTTTAAAGAAAGAAGATTATTTTTCAGAAGAGGTTTATTCATTTTATTAGGCGAAGGCAATGTTGGTGCTTTATATTTTCGTGGTGGTGGTGGCGGTGGAGTATACGAGACCTTAAACACGGTTGCATCTGCCGTTCGTAAAATGATCGGCGGTGGGTCATCATTTTTATTCCATATTTTCTTATTCTGCTGAAAGTTTGCACGCACCTTTTCTGCGTGCTTAATATCTGATTTTCTGGATCGATGAACTTTCCCATGTAAGATAAAATCCTTAATCTGATTTATTGGTTGAGGTAGAGTCTTGTGTGAATTATAACTATTTTTCTGGAAATAAATGTCAACATTCTGCTCTAAATTCTTTGGATATTTTACATCTGAATATTTGTTAATATCATTCAGTCTATTAAGTTTGCTTATGCGCAGATCGTTAATCGAATATTTTTTATTCATTGGAATATTTGAATACACATTTTCTTCTACATATTTCTTTCTTCCTGTCATTCTTTCTTGTAGTTTATCAGATTGTTCTTGATTTGGAACTGCAGTTTTAAAGGCAATGTGTTTTTGAATATCGCCGCTTATAAATTGTCGAACAACGGATGGTTCAGTTGTTTCGGCCATGTGCGCAATTCTTTGAGAATTTTTCCGTGGTAGATTACGCTTATTCCAACGTTTACGACGTAATATATAAGGAACTCCTGGTATATATACTGCAGATGGTATGCCAACACCAATACTTTGTTTTCTCTTTTGATTCACGACTTGATGACTACTAGTTTGTTTTGAAAGAGTTGGTATCGAACGTTGTCTTTTCAAAATACTATTAAGATTTGTATTATGATGGGTCTGAGTTCTATGCACACCTGGTGCAAAAAAGGTCAAAGAGTCAACTTTTTTAGGCCTAGTTCTAACCTGTTCAATGATATTTATCATGTTTCTGACCGCATTATTACTAGATTGTTTCTGGTTTTTAGAATTTAGCGAAGTCTGTGCTTTTATTTTTGTTGACGGCTGTTTTTCTTTAATTTTCCACATTGACTGGTAATATTGCGAGTTCCGGTTAAGTAATGCTAAATATTTAGATTGATCAATCGATTGACTTGCAATATCCGTCTCGTCCTGTTGTGATTTCAATAAACTCGTTTCTTTTGGCAATGCCATAGATTTGTCCTTCGTTATATGTTTGGTTTCATGTTTGGTAGAACCTGGTGCTGGTGGCGGTAATTCAGAGGGTAACTCGGGGCTCTGTAGAGGTTGTTTTGAAAACTGACGTATTCCTTTCCTTCTATTCTCGGCCAACACATTTAATGATGGTGGTAAATTGTAATTTTCTTTCTCTACAAATTCTGTTCTACGTCTAGGTGGTGGTGGAGGTATATCCATCATTATATCTAATTCTTGCTCTTTTTTCTGATCCTGACGTGGCTGAATGTTTTCTGGGATAGTCTGAGGTTTTTCTTTTTCCGTTTCATCTACACGAGAAATGGTTTGATCTTCATGCAAATTAGAAACTTCTACAGATGTCTGTTGTTGTTTATCAGTTACAGACAATGCTTGTAGTTCAGAATACATTTGCCCTGAACGCGATGGCTGCTGAGTACTCGTAGATACCTCTAACGAATGTTTTGCATTGAGTGGTGTGGTTCCTTTCGTTGTGTGTTCGATACCTATTGACTTTATACCTATATTGAGTACTGGATCTGGTTTTAATGTTGTAAGTTTAATGTCCTCTGTCAGCATTTCAACTTCAGCTTTATTGGTACCCAGTAAATGTTCACCATCAGATTGTATTTGCTCAAGAATAGATTGAGTCTGATTTGTATCGTTTATGCTAGTGTTTTGTGAAGGTTGGCTATCTGATTTTGGAACTTCACTTAAATCTTCAACCGTGTTCAAAATATCTAACACCTCATTATCTTCAAATATTAACGTATTTGGTAAAGAAGGTTCTAGCTGCTGATCTGTTGCTTCTTCCAATATAAGTGATTCATTATGCTGACCCTTAAAATGTAACTGATCCAACATTGAAGTTGTTCCGTTTGTATCCGTGATAGTTTGATTTTCAGTTGGCATTTCATTCTCCATTGTAGTTTTTACTCTTTCATTGTCTTGAAACAACTGTGTAATGTTTGAATCTGGCAATTGCTGATGTTCAGAAATAAACTCTTCATTATGTTTCTTCATTGGCGGTTTACCACTATCTGATGAATTTTGGATTCCTGAATATAATTGTTCTAGCATTACAGATTCTATAGGTAATGAACCGTTTTCGAATATTTCCTGATCTGAAATTGAAGTCACCATATTTTTATTCTTGTCGGATGCACCTTCAGTATCTTCTGATTTCTGATCTTCTGAAATCACATTTTCTAAGACTGGTGGCATTAGTTTCTGATCCACCGGGAAATTTAATTGACCTTCAACTGACATTTGTTCCGATACAGCAGATAGATTCAATGCTTTAATTTCAGCTGTCTGTTCACTTCCAGTAATATTTTGTTCTAGCGTTTGCATTAAGGTTTGATTTTCTGATATCAACCATTCTTCAGGCTGCAATATATCCAAATATAGCTGATTACTTGATTCCATACTATTGTTCAGTTGCTGTTGTTGTTCAGATTGTAATTGATCGGGTCGTAGTAATGCCATTTCTTCGTTCATTGTATTATTTATAGTTTCTGATAATTGATTTATTTCTGAAATCGGGATTGTTTGATCAACAGTGCTACCTACTGTAAACTCTGTAGTGTTATCTTCTGTAAACTCTGAAGTGTTATCTATTGTAAACTCTGTAGTGTTATCTACTGTAAACTCTGTAGTGTTATCTACTGTAAACTCTGTAGTTTTATCTACTATAAACTCTGTAGTGTTATCTACTGTAAACTCTGTAGTGTTATCTACTGTAAACTCTGTAGTGTTATCTACTGTAAACTCTGCAGTGTTATCTACTGTAAACTCTGTAGTGTTATCTACTGTAAACTCTGCAGTGTTATCTACTGTAAACTCTGTAGTGTTATCTACTGTAAACTCTGCAGTTCTATCTATTGTAAACTCTGCAGTACTGTTTGTTGTAAATTCTGATCCTGTCTCTTGATTAAGAGATGGCATGTGCTCTAGTATTGATGTCGTTGGCATTTTTTCCATTCGAGGATTACTCTGGTCTGTCAGATTTTGTTTTTCAAATGATAATGACCCCGACAATGTCGTCACATTCGTTTGAAGAAATTCAGCTTCACTAGTATTTGATAACTGATGACTATCGGGTTGTAACTCATCTGGTATAAAAGACAATTGTTGATCCTCAAAAGTTTTGTCAGATTCTAATGCTGCTTTCCGTTTTATGGGTAATGTTTCCGAGTTGAACGGTGGCGTTTGTTTTTCGATGGTATGTGAAAGCATTGGGTCTGACATTGAGTCCCATATTTTTTTATCAACATCTGATATTTGTTGGTCACGTGAAGGTGGCTGTTCTGAAAAGGCAGCATTAAATTGTTGACCTCCTGGTTGTAAAATTTCCGGAGGTGATGTGTTAAGCACATCTGGTAGACTCTGATCCGATTGGGATATTCCTTTATCTTGTTTAAAGTTTATCGTTGGTGATCTATCAAAATGAGGCGGTGGCGGAGGGGGTTCTTCGTCCAACGGAATTAAAGGTTGTTGGATATCAAATGATGTCAATTTTTGATCCATTGAAACTGTTTCTGAAAGAGATTGAGATGGTAACGATTCATGGTTCGACGCAGTTTCAGCAACTTTGAATGGCTGAGAATTTTCAGGTGACACCACTTCTTCTGGCTGTAGCGGAAATTGAAAATCAGCCGCCTGCTGATCTTCAATTGGTGTCAAATCTTCAGTTGTAATTGGAGCTGTCAAATCTGAAACTGAAGATTTACTATCAGGAATAGACACCATTTCCTTCTTTCCGAAAACAGAACTCTTCGGAGGTGGCGGAGGCAGTTCTGGATCAAATATTGGCTGTATTGTTGGTTTAATTGCACTAGACCTCTGGTTGGGCTTTCTTGGTGTAGCTTCAACAATATCAGGTTTACTATCTATCCATGATTGTGGAATTCTTCCTGCCCGTGGTTGAAAATTTTTGTTCAGTGTAAATTCTGGTATCTCTTTAATTATCTTCATATCCTGATTCTGATTGGATAACATTTCGTCGGAAGGATAAGGTGGAGGAGGAAGCACTGGTTGAGGTGGTTCATTCGGACAGTTTTTACATAATGTCGATGATTCTTGTGTTTGTTTACCTTGTGAGGTTGTATCTTCAGCTGTTAGCTGTTTCTTTTCTTCGATAACATCATCTTTGATAGTTCCATTGTCAGTTATATTTAAATTTGAAATTTCACTACCAATGACGGACAAGTTTCGACTCCATGTGAAATTGGATTCAATTTCGTTGATAGAGTTTGATTCATTTAAAAATGTTTTGTTTTTGACTGATGATGAAATATTTACATCAGAAAATGTGTCTAAAGATGACTCTTCTAATGAAAATGGATTTTCTTTCTTTGAGGTAGATGAATTTTCTGCGTCTAAAAAAATATAAAATTTATGACTAAAATGAGATACGACATGAATTCAGCAACACAGAAAATCCATAACTTGCTAATGATTTTTCAACATTCAATTGCAAACCAGCAGATTTATCTATTTCGGGCATTGTTTTTACTGTTACAATAATCTGGGTTATATAGATATAAGAAGATGTGGTATGAGTGCCATTGAGACAACTCTCCATCCAAGTCACAATTTGTAAAAGTAAACCATTATAGGTCAAAGTACGGTCTATGTCTGTTTCCTCGAGATAACGGACCAAATCTTATTTCGTATTGGGCGTGTGTGGTAACTCACATGTACAGTAAGAACATGTTAATTACAGTACCAATTGCTTATTCGGCTTATTTTGTAAAAAGGTCATATCATTAATTAGTATTCTTAGACATTGTTTTGCTGCTAATATATGACAGACTATCACCGTTATATGAGAAATTACACAATGCAAGAACGTGTTAGAATGCAAAATATTATTGTATTTGGAAACTGTATAATAATAAATTTTCATTCTATTTAATTTGTTGTGTCTCAATAATGTTATTTTCGGTAAATGGATCTATATCTGTATTAAGATCCCTAGTCTTATTCCTAATCCCATTTTGAATTTTATATTGTTTTTTACTTTGTCTTTTTTTCTTGTGTATGACAAATTCAAAAATGAAATATATTATCCGTTGATAATTGTAGCAATTTGATTAATCTCATTTTATTTTGAAGATCATTCGACAGACGTCAATGCTTATGAAAGACATCTGTTACCATGATTTACTTTATTTACAAGAAATATAGTAGGATGTGTATGTATTAACAGAGACCGTTTACAGGTGTAAACTATATTATAGTGTGATGGATGAAAGGCAAACATCGTTCAATATGTTTAAAAATGAGACAACTCTCCACTAAAGACCAAATGACGTGGAAGTTAACTATTATTATGGTCACACTACGGCCTTCAACAATGACCAAACCTCATTCCGCAACACAAGCTATAAAAGACCCCAAAATGACAAATGGTAAAGAATTGAAACTAAAAAACTAAGGCCTTATTTATGAACAAAACAATAAACGAAAAACAAATATGATATACTGCAACACACTACAACCACTTAATTATAGGTTCCTGACTTGGTACATGCACATACATAATGTGGCGGGGTTAAACATGTTTGCGGCCGCCCAACCCTCCCCTAGCCTGGGGCAGTGGTGTAGCAGCACAACATGAGAACAAACTACAAAAATGAGTCTACCACTGCTATAAAGACAACTCCCTCAGTTGTGTTATTGGTGGGAATCACTACAGAACAGAAGATGAAAACAGAGTCTTGTGTTGTGTAACATGATCCAACACCCATGGATTACCATTGAACAAACCAGGTACAACACATCTGGAGACGGTAGAACCAGAAGCAGCCACAAATTTAGACAAACCAGACTAAAGAAGGACACGAGAATGGAACATAATACCAGAATGTGTAGTGGAGTCCGGAGTATTTGAGAAATTCAAGGCTAGAAAGAATACCACCCCTGGACCCATCCACATCTCAACGTGACAGCAGGACAATTGTACGTAGTTTTAAATACGTACATCGCTAATTTTACTGTAAACACCATCCAATTTTGGATGTTTACTTTTTGCATAATAGGTGGCCTCCTGTCTGTTTGAGATGCGCCCGAGTCAAATACACTCAAAAACAGAGCCGACTCGTAACCGGGAATAACAGAAAATGAAGAAGAAAAATTTAATAAAGTTTTCTGTGATGATTTTTAGATGATAAATGGAAGCCAAACATTCCTATGGTAATTAATGTCAAATTATCATGAAGACATGTCAGATAAGACACGTCTAGTGTTCAGGTGTGTAACATTAACTAATTAGTAATCAGCGAAGTAAATAAAAATGTGTGTTAATTACTCAGTGTATGTGGCATTTGTCTTAAAAGAGCAATGCACTAAAAGCTTCAATTTTGATTTGAAGACGACATGTTTTACAATTCCGTGGCATGACCCGAAAAAAAAAAGATTAGAAAAGAGTATTAATTTGTTATTTTATCTGAAAAAGGTATCATATTTATCAAAAACTTTGATTTGAACCAAGTAATAAAATTGCCTCGTTATCATGGTTATTAGATAATTATTTATGTTTAACCTAATGTTATACCATTATATATTCAATTGTTGTTTTTGATTTAAAACTTCCTTGCTGTGAATATGCCATTCTGCATATCTTTGTTAATACATGTTGTGCTAGACTATTAGTTACAATAAAGAAAATTCATTATAGAAAACAGTAATAGAATTGCACTTTGCATTGATTAATGGTGGTATAACTCCTTTTTTCAACAATTCCAAATTATTTATAAAAATATTGGAAAAGAAAAATATCAGAAGATACCAAAGGGGCAATCAGAAATCAATATCCAAAGAGAAAGGACAACACGACGAATATTAAAGATATTACAACCATTCTAATCTATAAACATTGCACAGAAACAAATAATTTTTACCATTACGAACACTACTATATAGACGTGTTGATCTTTGAAAATAAAACAATCGGTGATGAATCATGACTGAGGAAAGTTGGGCGTACCTAAAGCTACGAGACAAATAAACATATGCATTGGTATGTGACGTAGTTGTATCATAACCTTCAACCGAGTCACTAATTGGATCCATAAATCTTGGAAGAGATGACTTCAACTTACTAGTATGAACCACTGGTTATGTTGCATCGTTGACAGAAGCAACCCTCTATTAAGGATTTTTTTACTGGAGCTGCATTTTAAGACAATATTAATGTCTCTCTCTCAAACATGTCTCATTTTCTTATGTCAGTTTTGAGGGACTTCCCTTTTTGAATTTAGCTTGGAGTACGGTATTTTTGTCATACTGTTTTTTTCTTAAGGTAGTGAAGGATATCATCATTTTCTCTAATTACATCTAATGTCAGAACCTAGTACCAAAGGGTTTTTTAAGTACATTCTTCAGTTGCAATATTATCAACTAGGCGTGCACCTATTCATTAATAAATCCTGCATTCATTTTATTCTTTACGAGAGTACATTTTTAGCATTCTTACCCTTGAATCATTCAAGCTCTGTAAGTTCCATTTAAACAGGGTGATTCAAAATATGTTATGGCTTTTGCGATTAGCCTTAATGTTTTCGAAACGGATTTTAGTACATATGCCAACAACTAAGAGCCCGTTCGTGCTTTCGCCTCTTTTACCCTATAAACTCTTTACTAATTTACTAAAATTTTTCCACAGCACTGAATTCTGTTTTTTATTCATTTTCAGAATAATGGATAGGGCAAAATAAACCACTTGACATGTAATGGACAGTCGAGGTTTTTAGTCGAGAAACAAAAATATGAATTTATATGGGAAATATGCTCAAAAAGGGCAAGAAAAGAAAACGTAAGTTACACAAGTGACAATAGTGACAATAGTGCGATATACGATACAGATGAAAAGAAACCAAAGAAAAAGAAGGCGAAACCTAAAACTAATACACAATCAATATGTCCCAAAGGAGGTGAAATAAACAGGTGACATGACAAATGTAAACAAACAGTTAATTAGTACTCACTTTGTTAAACAGTTTATTGCAAGAAAATATGATGAACAATATGAATCAGTCTAATTTTTCACAAGACACTAACTTTTACTCTCCTAATCCAAATAATATGTTTCCTAGTCAAAGTCAACACATGTGTTCCACGCCAAACACTGGAATGATTCCTATGCCTATGCAGCACGTCTCGCCCCAAATTCATTCCACTATGCAACAAAGACCACAATGGGTAGACGAACTATTTAGTAAAATAGACAGATTTGAAAATTACATGTAGTTAAATAAATTAGACCAAATTGACAAGTTAGTAACCAGTTTGAATTCAAAAGTGGCCAAATTAGAAAACACAACAAAGGCATTAGACGACCCTTTCGGTCAGATAGAGTCAAGTACACAGTATATCAGTAACGAATTTGAAGCGCAAAACAACTCTCTATCAAATTTTAGAACTAAGGTTGACAAATTAGCAATGCAGTTGAAAAAAAAAACCATGTGAAGGATGAAAATGTGAGCAAAACAATAGATCAAGTAAAAAAGGAAAATGACAGGTTACAAAATGAGTTAACTGATGTCCATATGAGTTCTATGAGTAATAATCTTATACTTTACAACATTCCAGAAAATGAAACGGATCTGTGTTCGAATGTGTTTTGGAATTCTGTGGTAAAAACTTAAAAATTAAAAACTCTGCAGATAAAATTACAATATGTGATTCGTTCAGATTGGGAAAGAAAAATGAAAAAATAGACCAATCCTTGTAAAGTTTGCAAATTTTGAGATGCAGGATCTTGTAAAGAAAAGTTCGAAGAATTTGAAAGATTCGCCTTTTTGGAATATCTGAACAATTACCGTTAAAAATGCAAAAACGTCGAAAAGACAAATTAACATTACTGAAAGAACTGCGCTCCAGGGATATCAAGGCATATTTTGTGAAGGACAAAATTTTTGTGGGTGGCCAAGAGTATACTCCATATGGACAGCACAGGGAACAATTGAGCAATTTAAAA